TGACTTGAGAAATGACATGGGCCTATGATGCCTGATGCCTAACTAGTGCTACTTTTACAATTTTTAAATCTAGTTCATTTTGATCTGAGGTTTTATTGTTTCTGAAATTATCTTGGAGTTTAGGGAAGCCTGTGATGATCTGAAAAGTTTGGGTGTGTTAAGCTCTACAAAATGGACTGATAAAGGTAAAACATGTGCTTTTCTTAGACGCCTCTTTTTTTTTCAATGAAGAATCTTTAGAATTTCTCAGCCTATAGACAACCATTGATTTTTTTCTTTTTTCTTTTTTAATTCAAGTAAATAATACTTTCTTATGCTGTGTCTTCAGGAACTCTGTTACACGGCATGTACAAGTGATATGACACAAGTTACAAAGTTACAGTGTTCAGACCCTGAATGGAGTTAATAATATCAAAGGTCATCACATAGGTAATGTTTTAAAAAAGGAAAGTCTGTCTAAATCTTCCAAATTATTCATTTTCAAAAGCATGCAAGGAAAAAGAATATTTCTTCCCAGATAATTTAAATATAATATCTGAACCTCAGAAGCATTACTTAAATTTATAAGCCTGAAAAAGAATGCACATACAGACATATACATTTACATACATGTACATATATGTTAAATGTGATAAAACTTTAAAGAAAAACAGAGAATGATTAACACTAGAGTCAGGAGAATGGCGACCCTTAAGTTTCAATGAGGAGGAAGTGACTTTGGTGAGGTACATAGGGCTCTGGTGTACTAGTTCCTGTACATTTTTTAAGCTGAACAGTTGGGTTTATGGGTGTTGGTTTTATATATGATCTATTTAGTTTTGAAACTTGAAAAAAAAAGTCAGACGTAAGAAATGTTATATCATGAACATCTTGGTTTTTTTAAATGAAATTTATTTAAGGCACCAGGAGGGATTCTCATACTATCTCATAGCAACATTTTGATGCACAAAATGTCATAGCCTCTTTTTTTTCTTTCAGTTCAAAAAGATATAGTGCGCATCCTCCCCAGTTTAGATGTTGAAGTCAAAGACATTACTGACAGTTATGATGCCAACTGGTTTCTTCAGCTGTTATCGATGCAAGATCTTTTTGAGATGACCAGTGAAGAATTCCCCATAGTGGCTGAAGTCATAGAAGCGCCTAAAGGAAACCAGTTGTCCGGAAGCATATTACAGCCTGGGAAAACCATTACGATCCACAAAAAGTACCAGGCATCGAGGATCTTAGCTTCAGAAATTCGAAGCAATTTTCCTAAAAGACACTTCTTGATCCCCACTAGTTATAAAGGCAAATTCAAGAGGCGACCTCGAGAGTTCCCAACCGTGTATGACCTGGAGATAGCAAAGAGTGAAAAGGAACCTCTCCACGTGGTGGCCACCAAAGCCTTTCATCCCCCTGACTGTGAGCTGTCCTCCGTATCTGTCGGGGACCAGTTTCTAGTGCATCACTCACAGACGACTGAAGTGCTTTGTGAGGGGATCAAAACAGTGGTGAATGTCCTGGTCTGTGAAAAAATCCTCAGAAAATCCTGTGAGGCAGCCGCGCTCCCTTTGTACATGGAGGGAGGTTTCGTAGAGGTGATTCATGATAAGAAACAGTACCAGATTGCTGAGCTCTGTGCACAGTTCTGTTTGCCCTTCAATGTGAAGGTATCAGTGAGAGATCTTTCCATTGATGAGGACATTTTAGTTGCCACACCAGGACTGCAGTTGGAGGAAATGATCACAGACTCTTACCTACTCATAAGCGACTTTGCCAACCCCATGGAGTGTTGGGAAATTCCCGTTGGCCGCTTGAATATGACCGTGCAGTTAGTTAGTAATTTGTCTAGGAATACAGAATCGTTTCTGGTCAGGACTCTGGTGGAAGAGATCACTGAAGAACAATATTACATGATGCGGAGATATGAGAGCTCTATCTTGCACCCTCCACCTCGCCCACCCAAACATCCCTCCTTGGAAGAAACAAAGTTAACTCTGCCAACCTCAGCAGAAGAAAAGACACTGGGTCAGCCTAAGTCTCCCAAGGTAAGGCTATGATTTTGCTTTCTGTTTTTCCTCGTGAGTGTTTTCAAGTCTCTTCTGGGTCTGTTTCTTGTTTACTTTTCTTTCTTTCACGCCATATTTGAAATGAGCCTTTCTGATGCACAGTAGATGAATGAACATCAGAAGTGCATAAGCTGTTGCAGCATTTTGTATTTTGATGCTTAACCAGTAGATATGACAAGAAGTTTATACTGAATTAGAAATAGCAGGGGTGACATTTGGATATGATAACCCAAATTGCTGTCTCAATGGGTTTTAGCAGTTTGGAATGTTTTATAAGGTGCCTCGGAAGCAAATCTCTTTTATTTTGGAAGTGCTGTTTCATTTTTTCTAGGTAGAGTTGTTTTAATACTTCATGCAGGAAATGAGCATATAATAAACTCCCTTTTTCTGGGGGGTTACCAGTAGCATGCATCTGTAAGACGTCTTCATTTTGTTTTATGTGCACAATGATGTAAAAATATCTTGGCAGAACTGTGTGTGAGCATATGAGCATCTGCCCACATTCTGCCTATCTGAGAATTATAATCTTTAATAGTTCTACTGAAAAACAAAAATCAATAAAATTGCAGGCAGTATCAGATCATTACAGAATCAACAACTCCATAACCACCCTAAGGATTTTACGAAGGGAGGGGTTACAGTTCACTTCTACTTGCAGTCTCTGCCTCGTCAAAACTGCCTGCTGAGTGTTTGGAAAGCACTGGCCCTTACCCCAGGGAGTGAAGGTCGCTCTATGGTGTGTGGAAGGAGCTTGTTCTGGCCTGGCAGATGTGCTAGCACCTTGGGGAAACAAAGCAATTAGTAAAACAAAGAGAGATGCTGTGTTTACTCTCTATGCTCAGGAAAGATAGCAGCCTCCGGCTTCAAATATGTGGGTATGGAAATAGTTTTAATTCTACATTTCAAAGACTGCATTCTGATTGTGTGGTATGCTGAGGAAAGCCAGTATCTTCAAACTCATCTTCAGAAAAAAATAAAACCAGCAGAAATTTCTTTTCCAGAAAAACAGTTTTGAAGGAGTAATTTTGAATTAAACAACTGTTCCCAAAGAATGTTGATTAACAGGCTGCTATTAATGTGGAGGGTGTCTGGCTCCTCCTGTTTAGTATACTTTTATTACTGAGTGGAGTGATGTGAGAGATAAATGTTGTTCTCATTTACAGTGGTAGGCAGAATAATGTCCCTTACCCCCAAACCCACATTTTCACCCCCAAGGTAGCCATGCCTAGCTCTCCAGAAGCGGTGACTTTGCACATGTGCTTAAAATTAAGGACCTTGAGATGAGGAAATTATCCTGGATTATCCAGGTTGGTCCTACTTAACTACAAGGGTCCTTAAAAGAACATTTCCCAGCTGAAATCAGGGTCAGAGAGGGATGTGACTGCAGAGGAATGGTCAGAGTCGCAATGCTGCTGCCTCTGAAAACGCAGGAAAGGGAACATTGATACGAGGAATGTAGATGTGGTCCCTAGAAGTTAGAAAAGATAAGAACAGATTCCCTTGTTTTCAATGGTTGCTGCCTGACTGTAGAGTATAAGAAATGATCTATACATTCACTTCAAAAGCATACATAGATAGATAGAAGTGCTTTAATATAGATATCAGAAGAAACATCAGAGAAATACATGAAAGACCTCCAGAAAGGAATGCAGTTCTGCCAACACCTTGACTTTAGCCAGTGAGACGCATGTCAAATTTCTGATTTACAGAACTCTAAGTAATGAATTTGTATTGTTTAAGGCACCAAGTTTATGTTAAAGGAGCACTAGAAAGCTCATTTAGGATGTAAAGTTGGGAGAAAGGAAAAAGTAAAAACTTTGGAGAGAAAAATCTGTATTTAACTTAAGACTTGTTATGTTGACAAAGTAGCTCTTGTTTTTTCTTTTTAGTGAATTTATTAGCTCTTGTACTCATGAAGATCCTAAGGGTACAACTAAGCATCAGGGACACTTGGGAACAGGATCTTGAATATGGCTGGAATGGACCTTACTTTTCATCCTACATTGGTTTATTTTCCAGGCTAGTTTTATTTACATAAGGCACATTATAACTGACAGTTCCTCCATCTCATAGCTTCATCACTAGAGAAGAATATAAACTCTTTGCCTGACTCCTGTTGTGACAGACAAGGATTTCGGGTCACATGCCCTCTTTTGACTCAAGCAATTTATTGGATGCCCCAACTATAGCCAAGATTGATGGGAAGGAAATGAGGTCTCAAACAATAGAGATGCTCTGTGGCAAAGACTGCATTTTTATTTTCTATTACAACATAAGTTCAGACTCAAAGGG